GATATGGGCTCTTCAAAAGAATGAGAAATGGCAAACTGTGGACGTTAGTTCATGTGCCATGCGAGAACAACAAGGATTTATTTGTGAAAGTAATACATTTGAGACCCAAGATATCTGTTTTGACACTGAACAAAATATCTGCCACTTTGAGGTCCAACCTGGTAGGATGTTCGAATCAATGCTTGTATATATTGGAAAAGGATGTGCTTGCATCAGAACTCATTGCGACTCCATACAAATAGGGGATATGATTGTTGATACTACCAATCACTCAAATCTTTGTGTTTGCAATTTTATCAATATTTTAGGATGTGATTTTAACTATACAGTTCCTGTTACTTCATATCAGCTTTTGCAGTTCAATTACACTCTGATCAAAGATTTGCGTCCAGCGCTGATTGGGATGAATCTCGCTTTGGTAAAGGAGCTTCTACAACATGATGATCTACATCAACTATTAGAACGCATCAAAGACAATGGACAAAAGACGTTGATTACTGTTCATCATGACGTGAAAAAGATACATCGCATCTTGGAGAGAGTAATGAAGGCTGGAGAATATCACTGGTGGGAGGTTCTTTTCGGTTGGTCTCCCACAGCAACGGGAATATTTAACTCTATACTACATCCGGTAGTTGTTATATTAGGTTTAATAGTATTATGCTTGGTTCTTATAGTTATATTATATATAAAGACATGGCGCTTGCTAAAGCAAGTGTCCCAGCTTGATTTAGCATTAAATAGGGATACACTGCATTGTTTCTTGTAAGACTTATCTTAAGGCTGATAGATGGTTGTAACGTTAAGGTAGAACTTATATAAGATATTAAGATTTTAGGATTGTTAAGATAATAGGTTGTCATTAAGTTAATAGATTATAGGGTTATATAGGTTATAGGGTTATTAGGATAGGATATTTTGCGAATCGGGTTGTAACGGGGCAAGGCTTAACCGAGAGGACAATGGCATGTATAGGCGCAATGCGGGGATTTCGGGGTGTACGCGGTTAGGGTCCTCTCGAGTTGTAGTATGCTTTCTTGAGCATGGAGAGGGGGAGATGTTGTCAGCAACTGCGAAACTGCGAGACCCCCCCGCGGGGTCTGAT